CCAAAAATGGACAGAAGACCTAAATAGACATTTCTCCAAAGAAGATATACAGACTGCCAACAAACACATGAAAGAATGCTCAACATCATTAATCATTAGAGAAATGCAAATCAAAACTACAATGAGATATCATCTCACACCAGTCAGAATGGCCATCATCAAAAAATCTAGAAACAATAAATGCTGGAGAGGGTGTGGAGAAAAGGGAACACTCTTGCACTGCTGGTGGGAATGTGAATTGGTACAGCCACTATGGAGAACAGTAGGGAGGTTCCTTGAAAAACTACAAATAGAACTACCATATGACCCAGCAATCCCAGTACTGGGCATATACTGAGAAAACCATAATTCAAAAAGAGTCATGTACCAAAATGTTCATTGCAGCTCTATTTACAATAGCCCAGAGACGGAAACAACCTAAGTGTCCATCATCGGATGAATGGATAAAGAAGCTGTGGCACATATATACAATGGAATATTACTCAGCCATAAAAAGAAACGAAATTGAGATATTTGTAATGAGGTGGATGGACCTAGTACCTGTCATACAAAGTGAAGTAAGTCAGAAAGAGAAAGACAAATACTGTATGCTAACACATATATATGGAATTTAAGAAAAAAAAATGTCATGAAGAACCTAGGGGTAAGACAGGAATAAAGACACAGACCTACTAGAGAATGGACTTGAGGATATGGGGAGGGGGAAGCATAAGCTGTGACAAAGCGTGAGAGTGGCATGGACATATATACACTACCAAACGTAAAATAGATAGCTAGTGGGAAGCAGCCGCATAGCACAGGGAGATCAGCTCCGTGCTTTGTGACCACCTAGAGGGGTGGGATAGGGAGGGTGAGAGGGAGGGAGATGCAAGAGGGAAGAGATATGGGAACATATGTATATGTATAACTGATTCACTTTGTTATAAAGCAGAAACTAACACACCATTGTCAAGCAATTATACTCTAATAAAGATGCTAAAAAATAAATAAATAATATTTTGTGGGACAAAATATCAAATGATCTAATATATGTGTAAGTGTGAGTTCCAGAAGCTGTGGAAAGAACTGGACAGCAGAAATATTTAAATATATTGGCTAAAGATTTTCCAAAACTGATGGCATATGGTCAGCCAGAGATCGAAGAGTTTCAGTTCTTCAGTTTAGTTCAAAACTAAGAAATCACTCCCAGATACATCAAACTGTTTGAAAATTAAAAATAAAGAAAAAAATTAAAGCAGCCAGGGAAGTATAACACACTCAATTCAGGGAACAAAAATAGCTGACTGTTGTCAAAAACAGTAGAAGTCAAAGGTAATGGAATTATATCTTTAATGTGCTGAAAGAAAAAAGTCAACCCAAGACTCTTATTTCCAGATGGATATTATAATTCCTAGAGCAACTACTAAAAAATAATATAAAGTGATATAGGTAAAATGTCAAAATGCTTTTTGGCCCAACAACTTCCTACTGGAATAATTCTTCTGCAGAGAACATGATATTAATACAAAAAAGGCAGCTACCTGATACCGCTGAGAGTGAAGAGAAGCAGGCAAATTTTGGTGGAGAGTATATACTCTGGGAAGTTCAAAAGAGTAATTTCCCACTTTTTTTTTTTTTAACTTGTAGGTTGGGGGTAGGCATTGGTATACATTGTAGCATGGGGAACTGGTAGAATAATCACAGCCTTTCTGGCATGGGGAATGAGAGTACTGACACAGGGCAATTGCAGCCATTAGAGAGAAAAGCAGGAGTCTTAGAAAAGAAAAATCTAGGAAGGGAATCCCCAAATTCTGTCTGTATCTTTGAACCTGGAGCACAAAACCAACTCAAGCTGCTCACTTAAAAAAAAAAAGATACGGGGCTTCCCTGGTGGCGCAGTGGTTGAGAGTCCGCCTGCCGATGCAGGGGACACGGGTTCGTGCCCCAGTACGGGAAGATCCCACATGCCGCAGAGTGGGTGGGCCCAAGAGCCATGGCCGCTGAGCCTGCACGTCTGGAGCCTGTGCTCTGCAACGGGAGAGGCCACAACAGTGAGAGGCCCACATACCTCACACACACACAAGGAAAAGATATGAACTGAGAGTGGAGCTATTGCCCACGGGACAGAGTTTGTTTATGTCTAAACATGTTAACTGATTAAACGAAAGAAACATCATCCACTGGAGAAAAATAGCAGAATCCAGAGTCTCCACAACTTAGCATTTATATTTTTCAGGATACAATACAAAATTCTGCAACATAACAAAGAAAAATGAGAATGATACTCATTCCCTTCATAAAAGAAAATCAACTGAAATCAACTCTTTCACATTTCAGAATTAGCAGACAAGGATTTTAAAGCAGCCATTACAACCATTTCCAGTGATATAAAGGAACATATGCTCTCAGTGAAACAAAGGAAATCTGAGAAGAAAAATAAAATTTGGGAAAACAAAAGGAAATTGTAGAACACAATATCTAACTGAAAAATTCACGGGATTTATTTAACGAGAGAATTGAGATGAAACAGGAAAGAGTTTGAGAACTTGAATATTAATCAGTTGAAACTACCCAAACTGAAAAACAGAGAAAAAAAGACTGAAAAAAATGAGCAAAGCCTCAGAGACAGGTTAAATACCAACACATTTAATGGTGTTACACAATGGAGACCTAAGAGGGATGAAAAGAGGAAAGAATGGGGAAGAAAACATATTTGAAGAAATAATGACCCCAAATTTCGCAAACTTGGTGGATGACATGAATTTATATATTCAATATGCTCATTAACCCCCAAGTTGGATAAATATAAAGACAACCATACCTAGACACACTATGGTGAAAGTGCTGAAAACCAAGACAAAAAGTAAACTTGAAAGCAGAGAGAAAATTACTTTCAAGGGAATGAAGATGCAATTAGTGAATGACTTCTTATCAGAAGTTAGAGGCCAGAAGAGAACAAAAGAACATCTTGAAATGGCTGAGAGAAAAAAATTGTCAACCAATGATTTTATATACAGGCATACCTCAGAAATACTGAGGGTTTGTTTACAGACCACTACGATAAGGCAAATACTGCAATAAAGTGAGTCACACAAATTTTTTGGTATCCAAGTATATACAAAAGTTATATTTAGGGCTTCCCTGTACCGAAAAAAAAAAAAAAAAACCGGCATCAAAATACATGAAGCAAATATTGGCAGAATTAAAAGGAAAAACAGGAAATCACAGTTGAAGATTTTAATGCCTTTCTATTAGTAATTGATAAAACAACTATACAAAAATCAATATAGCCATATAAAAATATCTGGACATCGTCAACTACCTTGACCTAATAGATAGATACCAAATATTACACCAAAAAACTATAAAACATAAACTCTTTTCAAGTGCATGTGGTACACTCACCAGAACAGACCATAAGCTGGGCCATAAAGCAAGTCTCAATAAATTTAAGAAGACTGAAATTTTACAGAGTATGTTCTCTGATAAAAAGATAATTGAATTAGATGTCAATAAATTATCCAGGAAATAGAGATTAAACAACACTAAAACAATACTACTAAATAATCACTGGATTGAAAAAGTAATCACACAGGATTAGAAAATATTTTAACTGAATGATAATAAACATACATATATAAAAAAACATGTGGATGCAGCTAAAGAGGGCTTGAGGAAAATCTATAGCTTTAATTTTTCTTCTTTTTCTTTTTTTTTAAGAAATAGAATCATTGACCTAAGTTTGTACCTTAATAATCTAAAAAAGGGAAGATGAAATTAAATTTTTTTTTACATTTAAAAAGCAGAAAAATAGAGATTAGAGCATAAATCAATGAAACAGAATATAGAATAAACCAATAAATCCTAAAGCTGGTTCTTGAGAATAATAAAATCAATAAAACTCTAGCCAGACTGACCATGAAGAATAAAGACATAAATTACCAACATCAGGAATGAATGAGGTAACATAACTACATATAATTAAAAAAAGGGGAGAGTAGATCTACTTTTGGCATAACGGAATGAAGAGTTCCATGTAATGGCTCCCTAGAGAAACTGGAGAAAATTAATTTTTTAAAATCATTAAAAAATAAAAGACAAAAATGGACTACAAAAAAAATCATTAAAATCTCTGTAAATGGTCCTAAGAGCATACAGCAAATGAAGAAATATTTATTCAAATATATATATATATATATATATATATATACTAAAACTCAGTAAGAACAGTAAGAGTCTGTGGGATTTGAACCAAGACGCACTCCCCTCCTTTCCTCCTCCAGCTCAGAAAGAAGAAACTCCATTCTAGACTGGGGCAGCCGAGGAAACAGCACTCTCTCTCCAAGTCAGAGGGCAACCTTCCTAGGAGGAGCAGGATGTCAGCATTTCTCACTCTGCCCCCAACTATACAAGTGCTGAAGCTAAGTTCTGGATAAGTGCGCCCAAGATGTGACAGCTCCTTTCTTTGAAACGGCACCTGCTCACAGGATGGAGGCTGTATCTTGGGTGCAGCACCACTAAGAATATTATGCTTTTTTAATTATAATTTAAAAATTCTTCAATTCCAATGAGATAGGAGGACTGTAATGTTTTCTCTGCAAAGTGCAAGCAATTAGTGAATAGGAGGTCATATGATCATGAGGGTCTCTGGAATATTTTCTCTATGAGTAAGGAATAAAATTTGGCTTTAGCACCTCATGAGCTTTCAAAGTTATTTGAAAAGAGCAAGAATTTCCAGTTATTTTCACTGAATTAGTATTGAATATGATACAAAGTTAATTCCTACTGTTTCAGAAAAGAAACAGAAGTTGTATGGCCATAATAGTAAATGAAATTCCAGTGAATATTCAGTTTTAAATAGTACATTTATTAAAAATAGATAGAAACTTATTTTCTGATAACCAGTTAAGGACCTTTGAAAAGGACCTATTGAAAGCTTAGTAAATTTGCTATTCCCCACTATGGCAATCTTTGAAACGAAAAGAAGAGAAACCACAAAGAATGAGAGAGGCATAAACTTGTTTTTCCAGAATTTAATATTAAAAATATATATATATATATGTATATATAAGTTATTTTAAAAAATTAAAAGGTTCATTTGGGGGCCAAATGCTAGCGCTGAAACTTTTTTCTTGTAATTAAGGTAAAAAGTAAAAATTATATTAAAAAATAGAGTAGCTACAGCTGTCCAATATAAACCCTACCTGCAAAAAGGCAGGGCAGAACGAGCTGACTTGAGCAAATATCCACATCACAACCTTAGTAACAAGTTCCAAATGCTTTCAGTTCCCAAGGTCTAAAAGGAGGATCATCTTGCATGCTTAGATTCTACTTCTTCAAGAATCCACTGAATGCCATTCAAAAAACCAGTTAAAGTTTCAGCCTCTGTATCCTGGACCTATGAGCAAATAAAAGAGATTATTGTCAATAAGAAACTGAGTGAAAAATCTTATAATTAAGTGGGATATTTTCCTGGACACTCAAAAAAGAATAGGACTAAAAAGATCCCAATAGACTTTGGGTGAGTCACTCAAGTTTGGTCTTCTAGAGAGCTTAGATTAAAAAATATCATCTTCTCTTCTGTCTTCTAATTACTACCAATATGGGATTTACTACTTATCTCAGAGGTCAGCTTTGATACCAAATATCTCCCACCAATCAAGCTACTAAAACTGACTTTTAGAATGTTATTTTATTAAAGAGAATGAGTAGAAAATAATTTTAAAAATAAAAATCAATTAGAAAGTAGAGTGAAAAATAAAATGAGATTTTTCTCACCAGAGAAAATAGGACCTTACCATCCATGGGTGGCTTAGATGATTCAGACGCAGCTCATGGGCCAAATAAAAACAGGGCATTCTTTTTACATTAGCTTGAGAAATACAAGATAAAACCAGCATTGGTCTTCCTGCAGATCCAAAAGCTGGATCTGTCATTGCCATAATACGAGAAAATTCATCTTGCCATTCATGTCCTAAGGAATGTAGTCAAAACCCTTAATTTGCATTACTTGTAATGACTTAAAAATAATAAAACAAAATTAAAAACTAACAAAACAAGGGAAGCAAAAAATTACCAGGATCCAAACATAACAAACTGCCTCTATTGCTGTGTTCATTTAATGATCTTTCATAAAACTACATTAATCAGCCTTGCAAGGACAGGAATTTAGGTGAAATCAGAGAGATCAAAAACAGTACCACTCAGATGTCTCTATGGTTTAAAAGCAAAAATACTTTGATATAGATATTTTCCTCTCACAAATTCTGTAGCTGTCACTACCCTTTCTTTCAAAGGCCATAGTTTCCAAAACTTAAACATATAATTGAGTCTAGTTTTTTTATCCAAACTGAAAATCTCTGCCTTTCATTGGAGTGTAAATCACTGACATTTTGTGGTAGGCAGAATTCTAATATGACCCCAGTGACTCATACCCCAGTATAATCCCTTCTCCTCTGAGTGTGGGAGAAATCTGTTAATACAGTGGGATTATCACTGACATGATTAGGCTATACTATAAGACACAGCTGACTTCAAGAAAGGGAGATTAAACTCAGTGAGCCTAACCTAATCAGGTGATCCCTTAAAACAGATGAGATTCTTCCTAGTGAGAGAGACCCTCCATTGCTGGATTTGAAGATAGAGGGAGTCACATGACAAGGAATGACGATGGCCTGTGAAGCTGAGAGCTGCCCCAAGCTGACAGCCATACAGCAAGGAAACAGAGATCTCAGCCATACAACAGTAAGGAGCTGAATTCAGCCAATAACTGAGTGAGCTAGAAAGCAGATTTTTCCCTAGAGCCTCCAGAAAGGGATGTAACCCATCTGACACCCTAATTTCAGCCTCTGATACCTAGGCTGAGAACCCAGCCATGCTGTGCTCAAGACTTCAGACATAGAGAACTCTGAGCTAATAAACAGATGTTGTTTTAAGCCACTAGGTTGGCAGTAATTTGTTACATATTAATAGAAAACAAATAAACATTGAATGTAATTATCAACACAGTACATTTAAATCTATCATATACCTCTTGAATTTTGACTTGTTCCATCTATTCTTTGTTCCTTTTCCTGCCTTCTTTTGAACTGACTTTTTTAATGATTCCATTTTATCTTCACTACTGGCTTATTTAACTATACCTCTGTTACACTTTTTTTTAGTGGTTCCTCAAGGATTTACAATGTATATTTTAAACTTGTAACAGTCTACTTTTTATTTTAGTTTTTATTTTATTTATTTATTTGACTGCATTGGGTCTTCGTTGCTGCACGCAGGCTTTCCCTAGTTGTGGCGAGCGGGGGCTACTCTTCATTGCAGTGTGCAGGCTTCTTATTGTGGTGGCTTCTCTTGTTGCAGAGCATGGGCTCTAGGCACGTGGACTTCTGTAGTTGTGGCACATGGGCTCAGTAGTTGTGGCTTGTGGGCTCTAGAGCGCAGCCTTGGTAGTTGTGGCACACAGGCTCAGTTGCTCCATGGCATGTGGGATCTTCCCGGACCATGGCTCGAACCCATGTCCCCTGCATTGACAGGTGGATTCTTAACCACTGTGCCACCAGGAAAGTCCCTAACAGTCTACTTTTTAAAAGTATTATATAACTTCACATATAGAACCCCATAATACTATATTTCCATTTCTGCCTTTCCATCCTGTGTAATATTGTTACAATATATTTTATTTTAAAAATATCATAAACCCATAATACATTGTTACTGTTTATCTTTTACATAATGATAAATAAATTAAAATTAGAAAAAAATATTTTATGTATAGCTATATTGTTTATATGCCAAGGCTCTTCATTTCTTCTTGTAGATGCAGTTTTCTACCTGGTATCATATTCTTCTACCTGAAGAGTTTCCTTTAATATTTCTTATTATACAAATCTGCTGATTGAACTTTCTCACATTTTGTTTGTCTGAAAAAAGTCTTGATTTTGCCTTCATTTTTGAAAGATGTCTTTGCTGGATATTAGCTTTCCCCCCTTTGAATACTATAAAGATTTCCCTTCATTACCTTCTGGCTTACAGCAAAATTCTGTCAGAAAGTCTCTGTTGTTATCTTTGGCCCTCTATATGTATCTTTTGTTTTGCTCTGGTTGCCTTCAAGATATTCTCTTTACGTTTGGTTTTCATCAGTTTGGCTATGATGTATCTGTATTTTTTATTTATCAGGTTTGGAGTTCTTTGTGAATCTTGGATCTGTAGTTTATTCTCTTTCAGTAATTTTGAAATAGCTTTGGTCATTATCTGTTCAGAAATTTCTTTTTCCCTGTTCTTACTCCTTTTGTGTTTTGGGACTCCAGTCACATATAAATTGAATCAGGGGTCAGCATACCACACTCTGAAGATCTGTTTTTATAAATAAATTTCTTTGTGAAACAGCCATGTCCATTCATTTGCAAACTGTCTATGGCTACTTTTGCACTATAATAGCAGGGGTGAGTAACTGTGAGAGATTGTATGGCTCACGTGTCTAAAATATTTACTATCTGGACCTTTAAGAAAATGCCAACCCCTGAGTTAGATCACTTAATAGGTTCCCCCAGCTCTTGAATGTTTTGTCCTCCACCCCTACTCTTTTTTCTCTTTGTGTTTTAATTTGGGTAATTTCAATTGATCTATCTTCACATTCACAAAAGGTTTCCTTTGTTATTATGTCCACTGAAGGAACTGTTCACTTGTTATCATATTTTTCATATTTAGCATTCCCATTTTACTTTTTCATAGCTTCCTTCTCTCTGCTGAAAATCCCTATTTGTTCACATATATTGTCCATCTTTTCCACTAGATTCTTTAACATATTAATCATACTTCTTTTAATGTCTCTTTCTGAGAGGGCTAACATCCAGGCCATCTCTGTGTCTAATTCCATTGAATGCTTCATCACTTGACAATGGGTCATTTCATTTTGATATTTTTTTGTATCTTATAATTTTTAATTTAATGCCAGATGTTTTATGTGGAAGAACAGAAGAGATTAAGGTAAAGGATTTACTTCTAGAAATGGACACGATTCTTCTGTTAGGCCATTAATGCAGTAGGATGAGTCCAGCTAGTCAGTAGTTGAGCTGGATTTGGCTTTTGTTGCTATAGTTAGTTTCAGTGCACCGTAAACTGTAAATTCTTTCAGCAGTGGGATGCTGCTATCTTGTTCCGAGTGAGAATAATATATTGTATATTTATACCCTACCTTATTCACAGAGGATTTGGGAAAGAAATTACAATCCTGGCTTGTGGCCCAATAATATTCTATTTTCATGCTATTTATCACACTGTGAATGGCAATTATTCAGAATATATGGATAGTGTTCTTAACTAATCTACTTAATCAAAGTAAACACTCCACCCCACACATCTCTCTACTATCTGGATAATTAAAATAAAGGTAAAATTTTTCATTTACCTGCATAAATTATTTGAATAGGGCCAAAAGCAGACAAAACACCAATAACAAAAAGTGCAGAAGCATACAACAACAAAAAAACACTATGTAGTTATAGTATCAAACTTCGGTGTGCATCAGAATTCTGTAAAGCTTGTTAAAAAAACAGATGCCCAAGACACAACCCAAATCTATGAGTCATAATCCACCAGGGTAGGAATCAGGCAGCTGCGTTTTTAACAAGATCCCTCAGTGATCCTAATGCACATCAAGTTTTGGGAATCCAATATTAACAGTAATAACAGAATCACATTGATAAAATTAGCCATGATATTCTTAACAAGCCACAGTAAAGCCAAAAAACATACTTTCTTATTTGCTTTGCAAAGAAAGCACTTTTAAAAAGAAAATAAGATAATACTTACTTTTATGAGCTTCAGCATTTGCAACATAGATGAACCCATCAACAACTTCACACACCTTCTGAATTTGTGGAATTACACTGTACCGGCTTCCCTGTTGATCATCCCCTTCATTCTGTATACTGAACATCTTGTTAACTGCACTTGTATGTTCTTCTCTTGCTCTATCTCTTTCCTTTCTATAAGAAAAATGTAAATATAAAACATAAACAGACACTAAACAGACTTCACCCCCCTAAAATATTCCATTACTGATGTCTCAGGTTGCCAAGTAGGTAGCCTTACCTTGTAGTTGAATATAATATTAGGATGTTGAATTTATGTTGGTTGCTCAACTGAAAACTGACTCCTGATCCAATACCTAAAGGAGAAAATTACAGTTATCAAAACAAGTCATTAATAAAGACAACAAAAGATGAGAATGAGAAAAATTACTTGGTATAAGTAAAAAGAGTAAATGAAAAAGTATGGCAAGTTATATATATAGCTTTGGAATAAAATGAAATGTTTGTGTTGAAGAAAAGATGCTATAAGCAATTTTCATTCACATAGTAATAAACTATGGATATAGAAGAAAAAACTGCTAGGCTTTAACATTCCTTTTTTTTTTTTTTTTTTTTTTTTTTTTTTTTTTTTTTTTTTTTTTTTTTTTTT